ACTCAAAATACCCCCTTATCTCCTATTGCATCGATGCGGACAAAATTATTTTACTTTATCGGAAGTATTTGTTTTTTTATTTTGTAGGGGGAGATCGTGAAGGTTTATGCTAATGAGCAGAGAAAAATTACTTGCGGTGAGTTTGTTGAGAAGATTTTTTTAATCTTTGGTGGATAGCATAAACTTTTGCATGCCTTTTGTGTTTGTATTGATAAAGTACCTGAGGTCCGTCCCTAGGGGAGTAGGGGTGCAGCGCAGCGTCCCACACAGGCCCACAAAAGTGATATGTCCATACAAATTAAACTAACTCCACTACCGCTCAATTAGAAGTAATTTCTCTAATTTTAAATACGAAGCGGGGCGGTCGGGCACAGCTCATCACTATCCATCCCCCCTCCCCTAAGTGTTTATAAAATAATGCTAGTTCTGTGCTGGCTGTTAAGTACAACAACAGAAGATTCTTATCTGTGCAGATCCTGAAATGAAGGAGCTCATCGAGAAAATTCTTTCAATTGGGCATGTGTCTTATGAAGTTCTGCTACCTGTATGTGGTCTATACTTCTCTCTAGTGGCCTGCCAAAGGCTCAAAGCATTCTTGCTGCACCTTTTTCTATTTCATATAACCATTGAAAAGTTAATTTTGCAGGTTAAATTTATAAATATGTGGGATCCTGCCTTATTGGCAATAAACAGGGAAGGTTACAGCATTAAGTGTAATGGACAGCGTGGTGTTGTTATGACAGAGAAATTCCGGCAAGCTACGACTGTATGGTTCTGAATCATTTTCCTTAACATTACTCTGTCCTTGCTGCTATTATACTCCTCGTAGACTCGTAGTCTAAAAAAATTGTGATGCCTGTGATAAAATCTTTTGAAATGTCATTATCAGTATCCTTGTAAATAACTAAGCATTAGTTGGCTGCATGGAGTTTATGTTAGCATATTTTCATAAATTTTACTTTCCTGACGGTATAATTCAATTCTGGACATTTAATAGCTTTTGCAAATCTTATAAAATGACGGGTTGAATTCTGCAGGCCGCAACAGTAAAACGTAATTCCTGTTGTGATCAGGGCAGTAGTTTGTTTGCTACTTTTGCTTCTGTGGATTTTGTAAAAAAAAATGATCTCAAACAATGGACCGAATTTTCCATTGCATCGCTTGTTCAGCATGTATCAGTTTACAGGTGACAGCTATAATCTCGTACTATGTTTACAGATCAATATCCCATATGGGCGTCCCACTGAATTTTCAATCCAGTCTGCTAAGGGTGCTGAGTACAATCTCAAGCCTGCAAAAAGTTCCCCGTGAGTTAAATTTCTAGCATATTTGCATTGCAGTCCATTGAGTCACATGTAGTAGCTAGCTGCACATCGTGTGATGAACACGAAACCTTGGCATCGGAAGAATACCAGTGTCGGTGTCGGTCAGTTGTCGTTGTTATTGTCTCTGTCTTTGCGGTGTTTTTTGAAGAATAACGAATCAAGAGCCCAAGACGTTCAAACCGTGTCGAGCTTGTAGGTACTGAATGACGGCTCTCTGAATTTTTTTTGCAGATCACGAGATGCCATCGTTCTAATACTGAGGCTGTACAGAATGAAGGTTCGGGCATTCTGTCTCTTTTTAGTGAGGCATTTTGTCTCTTGCACGTGCTTTAATTTGTGTCTGCTATGCCGAATCAGGGTGCACTGCAACATGTCTTTGCACGATTTGTTGATGTGTAGTTTGGAGTAATAAGCTTATGTTTCCTGTTTTGTGGTACACGATGGAAATGTGGGATTGTAATGGAACATGTGTGCCTGTGTGTGTTTTCTGCAGGCTCTTGAGAAGAGCAAGGGAAGGAAAAAGGGGATCTTCTTCAAGTAGAGTACCGTGGGTTCAAGACGTTATTCTGTTTTCCCATAGAAAAGAAGTCGTGGAACCAGATAGCAGCACTGCAGACCTGAAGAAGTTTGGAGTAGACCGAGAGTCCTCAATGCAGCTGGATACCCGGCTGAGAGAATGTAAAAGCATGAACAATGTGCTTTCCTGAAAGAATGCTTCCAGGGTGCAGATGATGGTGCATACGCATCACTGGACCATCTACGTCTACATCCTTCTGAAAGATGGTGCAGTTCATGTGATCCAAGGCAGAGGGACGCCTCTCAAGTTACCTCAACGATCGAAGATCGAAGCTAGTTGCCTCAACGATCTGTCGACTAGAGCTCCTAGTTTCCTTTTTTCATCTTCTCTTCTAATAAAGATCATTTGAACTTATTCGCGAATATTGGTGGTTGCTTCAAGATAATTTTGTCTCAATCAAAAGACTGTCTTGCACAAAAACATAATGGTCTTGTTACCATGCAACGCACCACTATTATATTGTTTTGGAGGATGTTTTATGTTTATGTGAAAGATAATGTTATTTTACAACAAACTTGGATATTAGCCTATTGGTAATTTACTTAGTTCCGATCTTTCATAATAGCTTTTGCCAGCAACCAAAAGAAACCACACATAATAAAATCAAGGCAAGCCTCGGTGATCCTATTTATACAGAATGCAAACCGGTGGGTATTTGCTTGGTGAGCTGTGACCTACAGGTCCCTGTTAATGGAGGATGGCCATGACAGCCTCCTCTGGTTTACACTGTCGAGTCCACCACTTTCAGGGTTTACGTCGTCCACTTGCTTCCAGCTATTGAGTATTGAACCCTCTCTCCACTGAGGTGGCGTCAAGAACTTTGAATCATCACTGGAGCCACCTGGGGTCATTGACAGAGAAGAAGGACCAACACGTAGTGTTTGGAGAGTAGAAAAGGATTCCCTCATCGCAGACATGGCCTCGAAGAACCGGGTGCAGGATGCGAGCGCAGCAGGTATCGGTCGTAGCATTTCCTTCACAGAAATAAAAGATAGCCATTAATATTTCCTATCTGACATGATATAATGCGTAGACAAGAGCTTCCACAAGACGATGCAATCAGAATGCACAAAATCATTCCATACTGACACGATGAATCATTTGTCATCTATAGATTTGGCAGTGGTAGCATTAATATTTGCATCTGCAGTGGAAGGTGTTTTGCTATGACTCCTAATTTAATTACTAGAAGGAGTATTTTCAACTTACACCCCATACAGCAGGCGACTCTCTGAAGTTTTGACTCCACTGGAAATCTCCAACTGATGCTGTCAATGCCCCATAGTCACTTGCCGCTTTCAGAAGTAGCTCCGAGAATTGTTTCTGAGGAGAAGCAAGTACAGTGAGTAGGAAAAATTGCGATTTGCTCAAGAAACCACACATTCCTCTGTAAAGAAATCACCTAAGCAGGTGCAGCTAAGATTATCCTCCATATCAATACATTGTTAAGAATGCCAATAATCAGAAATCTGGTTGTAGGTTGCTTTTTCTTACACTATTTTTATTTTGAAGTTCATGAATGAATGATATATTTTCTATAAAAAAAACTGAAATCAAAATGATCAAGAACCCGACCTGGTATTCAGCTTCAACGGGAATGCAATCAAGCGAGTAAGGTTGCTGCAGGCGGGCAATAATGCGGTCCTGATAGAAAAGGGGTGTTATTTTGATATCCAGATCTTGTAATTGGTCGATTTATATGGTATATGGAGCAGCCAACAGCACAGGCAGAACTTTCTTCACACAGTAACCTGAGTAACAGGTGGTCCCAAGATGGAAAGAAAGAAAGCAACTAAAATAAAATCAGTGATTTCTGACTTCCAGTACCTTGTTTTGAATAACATCTTTCAAAATAGCAGTAATTCTGGCCAAAGATTCACACTTCTTTTCCATTTCACTAACATGAGTCAAATGAGCAATGTTTTTATCATCCTGCGGTAATCAAAATTCATTAATATGATCAACAAAGATAACTGCACAAATCAAAAGCCCAGAAAACTGAATACACCAGCATATGGAGATGATATATAGCGAAGTTTACAAGTGAAATATAAATTGGACACTTGCTATTCTGCTTGTAATCACATTTAATAGGGTGTAAACAGTTTTAAGTTCTATACATCACCAGTTGAAAGCTTTAACCTTGCACATTTAGACTGACTTGGGTGTTGCAATTCATTTTTCAAGTATCAAAACCTAGGTAAAACAAGTGTGAACACCCATCAGATTGATAGACAGATATAGAATTCTTGTAAAAAAAAATGATCAATGTTATTCATATGCTTTGATAGCAAATCGTAATAGTCAAAGTGGACATATTGAAATAAGCAAATGTATCTCCAAAATGCTCTAATTCTCCATGATGTTCTCATTTCTACCTAGAATATGAATAACCTCACGGGAATTTCATAATTTCGCCACCACTGTAACAGAATGAAAAGGATGTTAACTACAGCAAAGCAAAGTGAAGAAATACAAAAGCGTTGATCTAAAGTCAAAGTAATATCGTGTAGTAAGGGACCTGAAAAGGTAACCAACGAATGAAAACTTCATAAGCATTGGCATGGCACAGAATTGGTGTAAACATACAAACAGTAGCAACTGGTCGTCGATCCATTACCTTTCTGCCTTGTAGCTCGACTTGCAAATTGGCAATGTTCCGCTGCACGACTGTCAGCTCCCGTAATACCCTCACCAGGTCATCACTTTTGTCGGTGTTCTGATCTTCCTGCAATGGTAAGTGACAACAAAAAAGTGTAAAGACTTAAGAAGCACACATGACCATATTCTGCGACATAAAAAGAACTGTCATTTCATCACCATCACTATTAGTGACACGGAGCACTGTAAATTTCATGGAGCTAGAAAGCATAACAAAAACAGAGGGATACATAGCAATCTTACAGCTAACAGTTTTAGATGGGTTAAAACTAGCTCCACAATAGGTTTCATTAGATAAAGAACCTTACAGGTTATAGTCACCAAACTTAAGAGGGGATAATCCCCCATAGATGTTCCTCTCAGGGCTAGCAAAGCGTACGGGACTCCCCTGAACCTACACGCTTAGCCTGTTCAAACCATGCAGAAATTGCAGTGATAGGGTCTAATTCAGGAGCGGCACTCGGTTCCTAACCTACATTTCACAATCCCCGGCCACGATTTACCAGGAACGGAACCCTACAAATTACCTGAAAGGAGCAAGAATTCGGCCGGGAGATTCGGATCTCACAAAATGGCGGCGGAAGAGACGAATTGACAGGAGAAGGATTTGGGGGGACAGAAGTAAATCGAGAAGACGCAGCCAAGGGGTGGAGGTAACCTGCGCGGGAGGGGCCGGGAAGCCGAGGTCCCCGGCGATGGCGACCGCCTCTGCCATGCCACCGAGCCGCTTCGCCGGCTTCTGCGCCGCCGCCATGGCCTCGACCGGTTGTTAGGTGAGCTGTTGCGCGTTGCGATTTCGCCTCGCCGGCCGGTTGAGCGTCTGCTGCAAGTCGAGTGTACTTCCGAACCGAAATGCCTCCAAATGTACAAATGCTGCTGAGCTTCTCTGTGCTCTTCAGTCTTCATCGAGATAAATAAAATTAGAGCATGGTTAATAGTATAGCCAAAGCCGGTTGTCATGTCATTTATAATCAACCTAATAGCTTACTCATACAATAGTTAGTCATACTAGTATTTTATAACATTAATATATGACTCGTCTCTTTCTCTCACAAAGGATGTTGGGGCTCGTGCTACAACTGGTTTATAGTCCGCTTCTCTTCTCTCTCATCTCCTCTCTCCTCTAACCGGCACAAATCTAATGTGCCATCTCTTATAGCCCACCTATGTCACTCAATTTACTTGCTCTTAATGATCATCGGGGGAAGTGAATCTCTACCTAAATATTTTCATTTGATTTTGCCTAGAAACTTTGCGACTCCATACACGATAGATTCAAGTAAACCAGAGTGCACGGGAGGACAAGAGAGAAGAGACACTCCCGAGAAACAAAGAAAGGCTCTCAGTCGTCTAGGGTTTCCATGCCTCCCGCCAACGTCGTCGTCAATCTGCCTCGTCTCTTATGGCCTTAGGGCCATGGATGCGATGTGGATCCCGGCCATTGCGGGCAGGAGGGCTCATACTTCGGTTTAGATGTTTTTAGTCTGTTTAGAATTTGTGTCTTGTTCAGGAAGTCGAGGCGGGGCGGCTCCTTGAATGGAATATTCCCTATGTTGCCCCTCGTCCCGACGGTGCGTCTCGTGTCATTGGAGGGCTTGTAGAGGTATGTCTCCAACGGATCTCGCGGGATTTAGTCGGTGCTTGTCTTCGTCGGATCTGCGTGGATCCAGTCTCCGTTCGTCTGCATTCTTGTCTACAGGTTGGAACCTTCCGACCTACACTTCTCTTCATATGCGGTGGTTGTTGTTCTGGTGCACTGGTCCTTTAGGGCCTTAGCACGACGACTTCCCGACTATCTACTACAACAAGGTTAGCCCATCTCCGGTGAGGGAGGGACAATGACATTGGTTGATAGTACGGAAAACCATTAGTATCCTCGGTAGGGTGACGAGCGTGGCTAGAAGTACCAAAAGGGAGTTCACACAAGGGATTTACCCAGGTTTGGGCCCTCATGGCAAGGTAATACCCTACGTCTTGCTTTGTTTTTTATTGATATGGGGGCATCTCGTGCGAGGGGGTTACAAGATGATGATGGATGGGACTATCAAGGATATGGTCTATGGAATTGATGCCCCTCGCCTCGCTTTATACATGAGACTATAACTAGGGTTTACAAAGTTCAAACCAACCACACGTTGAAGGTTCCTTCGCTTGTACACCAAGATGGTCTTCTCCCTATAGGCCAAAAGTCTGGGCTGCCTCCCTGAGCTGATATGCCACCAGGCCCCCTAGGCTTAAAGCCCCGCCCTACATCGTGCTTCCGGGGAGTGCCCCTCTAAGGTCTGGAGCGCATGATATCGTGGACCTCAAGGCTTCGCGACATGCTTCTCTACGGCTTGCGGCCTGCGTCTTCGCATTGTCCGGTCTTGCGCCTTCACGGCTTCGCTTGACGTCTATCAAAGAGCCATAGCAATTGATGGGTGATATTTTTACGCTCATCACACCCTTGTTTAAATTTGATAATCTTGGAATTTCCAAGAAAATCACTCGAATATTGCCATCAATGACTATGCGAGAGATCGCAAAATCCTTTGTTTAGTTTGTTTTCACATTAAAGGAGATCAAACATAGATTGAAATCATCACTTACAAGGAAACAAGACTTGTGGGAGAAGGAAGGAAAGAATTAGAGGCGCAACAGTCTCACCATAGAGCAAGATGGCATCTAGTATGAGCACACACGCTCATACCAAG